CTTTGAGATTCTAGGTGTCAGCAAGTAGAAAGGATTCACTGAAGGACATACAGGGCTGGTGGCAGGTTGTGAGTCATTCCATGTCCCTGTGAGAGCTGCCAATAGTCCTCTGATTGGGTGGAGCCTCATGAGGCGGGTGAAGATGAGGAGAAGAGAGTAGGCATGTGTCTCCAGTCCCTAACCCTGGCCTGAACTCCCATGTTGGCCTATTGATGCTGTGTGAGTTGGGAAAGCCCTTCAGCTTCTCGGGGCCACAGTGTTTTCATCTGTAAAATGAGTAATTGTGGTCTCCACTCTTGAGAATGATAGGAGTTAAACAAAATGGTGGATTATAAGGGTATGCAATGGTGCTTGACCTATGGAACGATAACAGATGGGTCCAACATTTAACCTCAGGTCTTGGTCCAGAGAAGCAACTCCTTAGGGAGTGCTCCAAGGCCGGGCACTGGTGACTCATGCCTGTAATCCTAGCTACTCAGGAGGCTGAGATCTGAGAGTTGCTGTTGGAAGCCCTCTTAGGTAGAAAAGTCCATGAGACTCTTTATCGCCAATTAACCAGTAAAAAAAAAACTGAAAGTGGAACAGTGGTTGAAGTGGTAGAGCACCAGCCTTGAGTGAAAAAGCTAAAGGACAGTGCCCAGGCTCTAAAATCAAGCTGCATTACACACACACACACACACACACACACACAGAGTCCCTAACTAAGCTTTCTGAAGGACTCAGATGCCATGGAACTTGCACAGAACTTTCCTTGCAAACTTTTTTTTTTTTGTCGGTCGTGGGGCTTGAACTCTGGGCTTGGGTGCTGTCCCTGCACTCTTCAGCTGAAGGCTAGCGCTCTACCACTTGAGCTACAAAGCCACTTCTGGTTTTCTAGTGGTTAATTGGAGATGAGTCTCAAGGACTTTCCTGCCCTGGCTGGCTTTGAACCATGAATCTCAGATCTTAGCCTCCTGAGTAGCTAAGATTACAGGCGTGAGCCACCAGCGCACGGCTTTTCCTTGCAAACTTTATGCTTCTGTATTCTCCTTCTGTACTGTCCCTAGAGTGCCCTTCTCTGCCCTCTCAGCCTCTGTAACCACATTCTCGCTTGGTAAGACAACACAAAGATCACCTTCCTCTCTAAGGCCTTCCTGAACAGTTGGGCCTAGTCACCTGTTTCCTTAAATTTCCCTTTTTTTAAAGCCATACTGGGGCTTCAACTCAGGGTCTTAAGTTTGCTAGGCTGGTGCTCTACCACTTGAGCCACTGCACCTCCATCCCCCTTAGACTCCCCTCTACTTGCTTGCACTAATGAGCAACTTGTGCACGGTAGCTTTGGGCTTGCTGCTTTTGTTGGATAATTCTCTTCCCGTGTTTCATTACCTAATGGAATTTTGTTTTCCAGTGAGCCTGATGGCATTTGCCATTGTTTCTCCTTACAAAATAAAACAGTGCTAGAGTTGGGCACTGGTTGCTCACACCAATAAACCTAGCTACTGCTTGGAATGCTGAGAATGAGAGGATCAAGGTTCAAGGCCAGCCCGGGCACATGCATGAGACTCCTTTTCTACCAATAGCTGGATGTGTTGACACGCATCTTATACGACCTATATTGGAAGCTTGGAGGTAAAGAAGAGAATTGCCATTCTAGGTTAGCCTAGGCAGAAAATATCTGCAAGACTCCATCTCATCAGAAAGAAGGTGTGAAGATGTGAGGCTGTCATCCCAGCTACAAAGGGAAGCAAAAATTTGGAGGATGACAGTCCAGGACATGGCTAGACAGGAAGCATGATCCCATCTCAAAAATAACCAGCACAGCCAGGTATTGGTGGCTCATGCCTGTAATCCTAGCTACTCAGTATGCTGAGATCTGAGGATCATGGTTCAGAATCAGCCTGGGCAGGAAAGTCCGTGAGATTCTTCTTTCCAATGAACCACCAGAAAACCAGAAGTTGAGCTGTGGCTCAACGTGGTAGAGTGCTAGCCTTGAGCAAAAATGCTCAGGGACAATGCCCAGGCCCTGAGTTCAAGCCCCACAACCGACAGCAGCAGCAGCAACAATAATAATCATCACAAAAGACACCAAAGCATCTGCCTAGAATAGGGCCCTTCAGAGAGCTGTGTGCCGAAATGGAGTATGGTACATGTATCTAAAACTATTCCAGACACAGAGGACAAACCATGTAAAGACTCAGAAAAAGAGCCAGGCGCTGGTGGTTCACGCCTGTAATCCTAGCTACTCAGGAGGCTGAGATTTGAGTATCGCGGTTCAAAGCCAGCCCCGGCAGGAGAGACTGTGAGACTCCTATCTCCAATAAACCACCAGAAAACCGGAAGTGGCGCTGTAGCTCAAGTGGTAGAGCGCTCGCCTTGAGCTGAAGAGCTGAGGGACAGCGCCCAGGCCCAGAGTTCAAGCCCCACGACCGACAAAAAAAAAAAAAAAAAAGACTCAGAAAAAGAATAACACCCACAAGCCAAGGAGAGTGTCTTCAGAAGAAACCAGGCTGGTCTTGATCTCAGATTTCTAGTCTCTCACAAATTTTTGTCATTATAGCTAAAAACAACAACCAACCCCCACCCCCGCAATTTTCTATGTCTTTTCTGCCTGTTTAAAAAAAAGGGGAGGTTGAAGATAGGATAAGGTCCGTGGTTGTCATAATAGCATTTTACCAGTGCCAAATTTCCTGGTGTTAATGTTATACTATGGATATGTAAAATGTCATCATTGAAGGAAGCTGGGTGAGGGGCATATGGGACTCTTATTTTGTGCTAGTTTTACAATTTGCTGTAAGTCTATAGTTATCTCAAAATTTTTCAAAAACTTAAAATGTGTTGAGGCTGATTCTAGGTATAAAATTATATTAAATATTCAAATAATGTATATATAATAGGATATACAAATTTGGGCTATGTAAGCCTATTTATTAATAAGCTTTTAAATTAAAAAGATTGATAATAATTTAAGTGGACTGTGTGAAGAGATTTCTTTCTTTCTTTGTTGTTGTTGCTGTTCCTGGGGGGGATGAACTTAGGGCCTGGGTGCTGTCCCAGAGCTGTTTTTGCTCAAGGCTACTAGCACTCTACCAGTGGACCACAGTTCCACTTCCAGCACCTGATTGTCATGGGAATTCTTATCAATATCTTGGTGAATTAAAAATGTCGTTGGACAAGGGAGGTAATCAGGGAAGGAATGAGAAAGAAAGAGGGACCAGCTGATACTAAGCAAATAGAAAAAAAATGTACATATTACCCAATTTATAAAATATTAGTTTTACTGTTAAGGTCATAGAGTTCATAAGCAATGTAGATTACGATAATGGTGACTATCATTGTGAAGATTAAAAGGTGTTTGTGACTTTAGCTAAGTATAACTAATGCTACAGTATTGTGAAATTTATTTAGTCACATAATCGCAATAAGGAAATATTTGGAAAAAATAAAAAGACAAAAAAAGTCATAGGATCTGGGTGCTGGTAGCTCACGCCTATAATCCAAGCTACTCAGGAGGCTGAGAGCTGAGAATCGCAATTCAAAGCCAGTGTGGGCAGGAACATCTATGAGATTTATCTCCAATTAACCACCAGAAAACTGGAAGTGGTGCTGTGGCTCAAAGTGTAGAGCACTAGCCTTGAGTAAAAAAAGTTTGGGTACAGTGCTCAGGCTCTGAGTTCAAGCCCTGGTGAACAACAACAAACTGTAAGAAGTAGGGAATTGATGGCTGATGCCTGTAATCCTAGCTACTCAGGAGGCTGAGATCTGAGGATCATGGTTTGAAGCCAGCCTGGGCAGACAAATTTTCAACTTTTATCTCCAATGAGCTAGCAAAAAGCTGAGAGTAGAGGAATGTCTCAAGTGGAAGAACATCAGTGGTTCGAAATTCAAGGCCCAGTAAAATATCATATGAGCTAGACTTTAATCCCAACACTGAGTTGGCTGAGGCAGGGGGATCTTGAGTTCTAGGACAACCTGGGCTACATAGACCTAGTCTCTAAATAAATAAGTAAATAAATAACCAGATGACAGATTAAATCTAGGAGAATACTCATCAAAAATATTAAAAGTAATTGTTTCTGGGCACCAGTAGCTCGTGGCTATAATCTTAGCTAACTCAGGAGGCTGGAATATCAGGATTGCAGTTCAAAGCCAGCCCAGGCAAGAAAGCCTGTGAGACTCTCATCTCCAATTAACCATCAAAAAGTCTGAAACAGGGCTGTGGTTCAAGTAGTGAAGCACTAGCCTTGAGCAAAAAAAGCTAAGGGACAATACCAGGCCTTGAGTTTAAGCCCCAGCACGCGCGTGCGCGCGCACACACACACACACACACACACACACACCAGATTGTCAGAAGACAATGGAACTGCATGTGATCTTTTGTCTTCTTTCTTATTAATATATGTCTATTTGTGTACAATGAAAATATTTAATAAAGCACCCTTAAAGAGCAGAGTGTATAATATTTCAGATGGGTTGAACAAAAACATTATTTAGTAGGAGGAAAAAAAATGAATAGTACCAGAGTCAGAAATGGCATGATGGGGCCACTAAGACGTCGGCAAAAGAGGAAGCAGCACGTTATGATAAGGTTCCAAGCAGGCTCTGATGTTTTCCTCCAGAACACTGAATTCTCAAAGGGCTGCAGCAAACGCCTGGAGTCTGAGCAGTTACAGCTCTAGTTTGACTCTCTTACTCTCAAGGACAGTGACCTTGTGTAAAACCCTCTCAGGGACTCAGTTTCTCCCTCTGCAACTCGGAAAGAGATACACCTCAAGGACTTCATAATCGTTTTGGTTCCATCCCGTTAAGTAACAGCTTTTCTAAGCGCCAAATGGGAGAGCCCCGCTAAGCAGAGCGGAAGCCGCCGAGGTTAACATCGGTCGGCCACACCCCCTCAGGCCACGCCCACACGACCCGCCCCCTTCCAAGGCCCCACCCCTCCCGGGTTGTACTCTTGACCCCGCCCCCGGCGTGCGTCTGCCGGAAGTTCCCGGGCGCGCGCGGCTGTGGCACCCTCCCTTCTCCTTGCCGTGCGTCCACCGGAAGTGCCCGCCCGGCAGGTGACAGCCGCGGGGCTCAGAGCGACCGGCTGCACCGACGCACCGGGGGAGCCGGAGAAGGAGGCCGCGGACATTTTGCTGCTAAGCCGAACCGAGGGGTGACACCCGGAGCCGTTTGGACCTAGGGGTGAGGAAACGGGGAGCTCAGCGAGGCTGGGGAAGGAATGGGCCGGCGTCCGGGGTCCGCGGTGAGGGGGCTGCGGGGTCAGAGGTCACGGGGAGGACGCGGCGGCGGCGGCGGGGCGCGAGCGGCGTCTCCCGCCGCGGGAGGCGGGAAGGCTGTGGGTTCATTCATTTGCTCCGCGCCCGGCCGGCCGTCTGCAGCCTGCACCCGGGCCGCGCTGGGTCTGCAGCGACTTCTAGACTTGGGCCCGCCCGGGAAGCCCGTTCCTGGCCCGGGGAGAAAACTCTGAGGCCTCTTCGGCGTTTTCGGGCTTCTCTCTCTTTACCAGGTTTCCAAAGTGCGAGTATGCGGGAGGGGTGTCAAGAAATAGCCCTGCTTCCCCCCCCCACCTCCTCACCCCCCCCTCCCCGTGGAAGGGCAGGGCTTGATCTGCCCTTTGGGTCCTGGGGAGCAGTTGACGGAATGGGGACACCTGTGATAAGGCTATTAAACACCCTTTGGAGTGAGTTGGAGTGACAACTGGATGGGTTATTCCATCCCTGGCTATTCCTCCCCTGCTGTGGGCGAAGCACTTCACTCCCAGTGCTACATTGAAGCCTCACAGCAGCCTGCCTCAGGTAGCTCCTGTTGCCCTAATTTTTATCATCGGGGACACTGAGGCACACGGAGGTGGAGTCACAGATGGAAAGTTAAGGTCATTGCAGTGGCGGAAGCAGAAGCAGAGTTTCTGACATAGGTTTTCGGGGACCAGCAAAGTACAGAAACCAAAGAAGCTGGATTTGGGGTGTCGGAGTTGTTTTTTTACTCATTTGGATTGATGTTGAGATGTGGCCTTATTGCTTGTTTTTTTTTGTCTGATCTTCAAAGGGGGCGTTTGATTGACTTTCTTTAGGAAGCTGTTGCTATAAGTGACCTAACCTTTCAGGACAAGCACTTAAGGTTTTCCTATCGGGAACCAAACCATAAGACACAAAACAGGACATCCACGATGCTAATATTTAGCTAGAAGCTCTGGAGAGCAGTTGAGCCGCATTCCTTTCCCAGGGAAGAGAAAAGAACCACATGACCCTTAGGAGATCTTTTGGTCCTAGATTCTAGAAGAACATACCCAAGGGAAGGGTCTTTGAGCACCTGAAAAATAGGCAGGCCTGTGTCTGGGAGATGGTGACATGATTTAGTGTCTCGAGGACAAGACTCAAGCTGAGCCTTTTTTCTTTTGCAGACATTTCACTTGTGGCAATTCTGCTTCAGTTTCTCTGATAGCAGCACATTTCTATCCCCTGCTTGTACATAAGCCTTAATGAACCTGCGCTTTCTGCATGCTTCTGAAGAAAACTATGGTTATTAATGTTACTGTAATTCCTTCTCTTTCTCCTTTCTGATGTTTCCCTAGTTCCATTCAGTTCACAGAAACTTAATATTGTCACCTTATCCCCATCCTTCCAGAGGATTTTGAGATAAAGTGACTTGTCACAGATGGTAGGCACATGAGCAGAGCTCAGAGCCTCTGTATCACTGTCCTCTGTTGAGCCCAGACATCTCTGACCTCTTAGAAACTGTCATGAGCTTCACTAGATGGCAAATTGTTTCGATGTAAAAATCATCTGTTGAGTCTAGGTCAACCAGGAGCTTTACCCCAAATGGATTAAAGGACAAGTAATGATTTTTTTTTTTTTGGGTCCGGTCATGGGGTCTGAACTCTGGGCCTGGGCACTGTCCCTCAGCTCTTCAGCTCAAGGCTAGCGCTCTACCACTTGAGCCACAGTGCCACTTCTGGCTTTTTTCGTTTTGCTTATGTGGTGCTTGGGAATCAAACCCAGGGCCTCAGGCATGCAAGGCAAGCACTCTACCACTGAGCCACCTTCCCAGCCCCAGGACAAGTAATGATGTAAAGACTGTTCCCTGACACCTTCAGTTAGCCCTGGGCTCCAACCCCAGCTCAGTGACTTCCCAGAAGTGGGACCTGCACAATTTACTTTCACTGAGTTTCGTTTACCTCAGCTCTAAAATACTACTGACCACCCCTTGCCTTTTTCCTCACCGCTGGTGTCTGTAGGTGTTGGATGAGGAAACTGCACAGCCTATTACTTCGGAGGCTGCCTTGACTTGAATCTGATCAGTGCCTGCTGGGGCCTGTGTCAAGCCTGGTGTGAGCAGAGTTACTTCCTTCTGCAAACAGACCTTTATGTACTCAGGACTTCTCTTAGCCTTTTCGTTTCACTTCCTAAGTTTCAGAAAAACTTCACTCTATTGGTCCTGTAGGGTCTGGCCTTGGACTTTCATCTTTTTCTAGTCATTTTTGAAATTTCAGGTCTTAACTGCTCCTTTCCCAGGAAAGTCACGTCCAGCAGCAAACATGGCCTGGATCTGAGTGTTGCACTTTGGCAGATTTCTGAAGGTGAACAGGCACCTGTTCCTGGAAGACGTTTCTTTTTCGTTTTTTTTTTTTGGTCTGGTCGTGGAGCCTGAACTCTGGGCCTGGGCGCTGTCCCTCAGCTCTTCAGCTCAAGGCTAGTGCCCTACCACTTAAGCCACAGAGCCACTTCCAGCTTTTTTCTTTTTTCTTATGTGGTGCTGAGGAATCGAACCCAGGGCCTCAGGCATGCAAGGCAAGCGCTCTACCACTGAGCCAACTTCCCAACCCAGATGTTTCTTTTTCTTTTTTTTAAAATAATTTTTACTTTATTATTAGTGACTGTCAACTGCTTTTTTAAGTTAATTTACTTTATTGTTATTATAAAGGTCATGTACAGAGGGATTACAAGAGTCAGATAATGAGAACATTTCCTTTCTTCTTTTTTTTTTTTTTTGTCGGTCGTGGGGCTTGAACTCTGGGCCTGGGCGCTGTCCCTCAGCTCTTCAGCTCAAAGCGAGCGGCTCTACCACTTGAGCTACAGCGCCACTTCCAGATGTTTCTTTTTCTAATCAGGTCTTTCTGTCAAAGATAGGTCATTGATGTTTCCACAGGCCGGAAGAGAAATGAACAAATAATCACCTGAGCAGCTAGGGATCCTTCCAAAACATCCTGCTTGTGAAAATCCATCAGTGGATTTCCATTGCCCTAAAGCTGAACTCACATTCATTGGTCTGGCATCTAAGGCCTTTCAAGTCTGACCCCAGCCTCTGTCTCCTTCCTCATTCCTCCACCTGGTGCTGCGCCTTCCATCTCCAGTCAGCTGGGCTGCTTGCCACTTCTGCAAGCCCCACTTCTTTACCTCCCTGCCTGTGCTTTGTGCTCCCTCCTCTGAAGCATTACCCTCGTCCCCCTTTCCCTACCTCTTCTGCTGGATTACTGCTTGGTGCTTCCATCCAGTTGTCACTCCAATTCACCAGCCCTTATATGTCCCTCCTTGATATCCTGTGACGGTCATCTGTTTACTTGCTTGTCTTCTTAGTCCACCACCACATTTTGTCTTGAGCTGGAAGCAAGGTTGAATGGTAGAGTGCCTGCTGAGCCAGTGCAAGGCCCTGAATTTTAACCCCAATACTGAAGAAAAAAAAAAACAACAACAAAAATGAAAACTCTGTCTGTAGCACCTAGTGAGGTATCTGTCACTGAGTCAGGCACAGTAAATATTTGGCAAGTAAACTGATCCTGCACTCTAATGTTTTGTCCATCCTCATGTCTTCCCAGAAGAAGGGATTGACTGTTCCTGAACTACTGTTGCTATCCCCAAAGTGCCTCAGGCCTTCAAAGAATAGGATTTGGAAAGGAGATAAACACTTAGTAATAGTGACTGACACTTACCCAGTTTTAGGAGGGCTTTGTATGTGTTGACTCTTGGTAGCCAGAAAAAAAAAAAAACCTTGTCCTTGGATTGTGTCCTGTTAGCTGATGGAGCTCACTGTGGCTCTAGACTTTCAAGCATCGTGCTCTTTGCATCCTCAGTCTTGGCCGTGGCTTTCACTAAGAATGTATCTAAGGTTGGGAGGCCCCTTCTAGTTAAGGTAAGCATGTGTCTGGTTGGTTCCATAGTCCCAGAGTTTATCAGCAATCAGGATGCCTTAGTTACTGTGTACCCTAAGCCAGAAGGTGGAAGTCAAGCATCAAAGGCTTTAAACCAACACTTCATTATTTGTTTTTTCAGCACTGAGTTCTGTAGAGTGGGAGATAGGTTTTTTTGTTGTTTTTTTTTTTTCTTGGTCATGGGGCCTGAACTCTGAGCCTGGGCACCGTCCCTTAGCTCTTCAGCTTAAGTCTAGCATTCTGCCATGAGCCACAGTGCCACCTCTGGCTTTTTCTGTTTATGTGGTGCTGAGGAATCGAACCCAGGGCCTCATGCATGCAAGGCAAGCGCTCTACCACTGAGCCACCTTCCCAGCCCCTGGAGATAGTTTTTTAATCACACTCGAATTGCTTTTAGGATTTTAATTCCACATTGAAGGTAGAATGACAGTTTCAGGAGAGCTATCTGTTGGATCTGCTTCTGTCTAAAAAAGATCATTCTTTGATCTTGAAGAATTGAGTTGCTAGATGTTGAGACAAAAAGAGACTTCTCAAGATCAGCACTCATTCAGTCACAGTCCATTGAGACCTGATAGTGACTGGCAGTGGGTTATGTCAATAGGTAAAGAAGCCAGACTGCTTCTTTATAGGGTTGCTTTCTCCTGGGGAGAGAAGCAAGGTGAAAATGAAAAACAAATGCAGTGATTAGAACTGACAAGTCATGGAGAAAACAAAAGGTGTAGCAGCCAGAGCCTATTCAAATATGAGTCCAGGGCCAGGCACAGTGACACATGCCTGTGATCCCAGCCACTCAGGAGACAATGATCACAGGATGCAGATTTGAGGCTAGCTTGAGCAAAAAAATAGCAAGAACCACCTTTTAACCAATAAGCAAGGTGTGGTACATACCTAATATCCCAGCTACAAGGAAAGTACAGGTAGGAGGATCAGTGTCTAAGGCTGACCTGGATAAGAACACAAGACCATATCTGAAAAATAATTAGAACAAAAAAAAGGGGTTGGAAGACATAGTTTTTTGTTGTTGTTGTTTTTGTCA